AATTTTTATGAAGATGTCGCAGGTTATTTCCGCACGTAAAGTGATCACCCTATATCTCGTAAAACAATCGAGAAAGGACAGATACTATATTTACATTAACAAAGATTATAGTATAACCTGCGTAAGTCTTTGGCAATAAACAACGTGTATTATTCAGCATAACTGAATTGATTGATGCTGACTGATCTGATTGATTACAATATCGAACAAATGTCTATCATGAGCTTCCTAAAATACATATCACTGCGCGCACGTGCACGCGCGCGCCAACAGATCTATACATATATATAAATTACTTATCCAAAATAATGTTAATTTTTTCTCCTGTAAAAAAATTAACGGTATTTTCTTACGTATAAATTTGAAGCTCGTTTAAAATTAAGCAAGAAACATATTTCTACGGCTAATAAAACTTCAATAAAATATTAATAATTTGAATGCAATATTAATAACTGTCCACTATTGATGTGTCGATATTGCCTTATCTTTCTATAAGAGAAGGTTATCTTCTCGTAACTCATGATACACATATTTGCATTACATTACCATTCATTCTTATGTATATTATCTGAAGCAAAAAATACAAGGTAAAGTTTTCGAGACAACAGACATTGGAAGTTTCTATCACTGCACATCGCTATTACTGTTTCCCTTCGATTCTCGATTCGTATTTGTAATAAATTATTATGCACATCATTGACTTATTTCGCGATAAAATTACAAATATTTCATTCGGCAATCTTAATAAATGGACAAATCGAAAATAATATCCTGAATTATAAAACAAAGTATACAATAAAAAGTAACATACAGATCATATAATCACCGCACCACGATGTTCAGTGCAATTGCACAGCTTCCCAGTTGAATGAAAGTTATTCTCCGATGAAGACATCACCGATTAAAACATGCGAAATATACATTACGTATCCTTGTTTAATCCTCAAGCACATAGAATATCAATTCAAGCACTGTATGTGCATCCTGACTGCTTTGTACAGCTTTATGTAAAACTTGAATTAATTCATTGTCTAAACTTTTCATATATATTGGCGGTAGTTTTGTACCCTCACTTCCAGCTTCATAACCCACCTATATAGAGACGCATATTTAACAATTTAAATACAATCCTAATGTAACAAAGTGAGTTCTATAAATCAAAGAGTTATATTTACATTATCTGGATGAATCGTTGTCCGCACACCGAGTTTTGTTAAACCCGCTGTTGCCAGAAGATCCAGCAATTTAACCAATGCTGCACACGTCGCTTTTGCTATGCTGCCAGATAGTTTGTTTATATCCACAGGATCGTTCACGCCATTCGAATGATCATCTGACTTTTGTAGTAATAGTATTTTATTAATTCAGTTTGCATACACATATGTATTTAAAATAATGATACTTCTCTGTAACGGCATACATACTTTTATAATGAATACTTCTGTCCAGCGTATGAATCGGCTTGCACCTTTATAATCAATGCCATTATGTACTCTAATAGATGGTATACCATCCATTAATTGTCCATCAATAGGACTTTTAACACTGTAATGAAAGATCGCTGTTTATTTAATGTGTTCAATATTGAGGCAAGAGAAAAAGTTCGTAATGTACAATTTCATGTGAAGTATATTAATATGTTGCATATATATTATAGCTCTTATTTCAAAAATTTGTTTTACTCGTGTGAGAGAGAAAGAAAGAGAAAAAAGGAGGAAGAAAATGAGATAGAGGAGGAAGATCAAAAAAGAAAGAAGGAAAGGAAGAAAGGAACAAATATTGGCAAAATTTATGCAAATATCTCAAATATAATAATAATAATTAAAATTTATCGAAAGTATTTACCCCAGGTTAAACAGCGTGTCGTTTTCGACCCACTTTATATTTACAGTCTCGTCTGGCTCCGGTGCTCCCTGGCGTCCGCAACCGATTGAAAAATCTTGCATATTTTTGAGAGCAGCTTTCAAAGCTTCCATTTTTTCTGGCATTATTTCTACCATTAATCCATCTTCAACGATACTGGACTTGGCAGAAAGTCCCATTGAAGATTTTAGAGCACCATTGATGACAATGAAACTGGCGCCGGTTACTATATAATAGAAAAACAGTTATTTCCATGTCATCAGCAGAAATTTTTTGCTTACAAACCCACCTGTTCTTGGCTTGTTGTGAATATTTATCGCTTGCGTTTGGTAACTGCTTTCATCACCAGTATTCGTTTGTATGCAAACTAAATGTGAATCCGCGGTTATGCTAAAGTTTGAGGCATAAGCTAAGACATGATCATTCGAATTATGAAGTCCTTTTATAACTTGGTCATATCGATTCTTGGGGAACATAACGTCTGTCGTACGATTTTTAAGGTGAATTGTTAAGCCCCTCACTCCTGGCAAAGTATAGCCGAAATTTCTAAAATCCGCTAATACTTTCATGACAGTGTGCCCAATCTCGAAATATAACGCATTTCGAAAACGTACGGACACCAATGGGCAAGGATAATAACGATATTCCGCTCCGAGACGTAAAAGAAGCCTTAATGGGAATACTTTGGCCCACGGGGTTTCCCACCTAAAATCAACAACAGATACAAGTGAAATTATAATTGTCAAATAAATGGAATCATATGAAACAGTTTGCAAAATACATGGATCTATTCACGAGAAAAAAAGTTAAATTTTACTCAGAGCAAAATTTTATTATATTCACCTGTGAACCAAAAGTCCAATCAAGAAAGGTGCGGGCGGTAAAATTATCTTTTGCAAGCACTGCAATGTCTGGCGAATAAAAAGAAAACCCGCATGCTCGCGCGAGCCCAACAGGTTGGTGCCTTGATATACCGAGAAACCGAGTTCCGTCATTGTATTACCTGAAAAAAGACAAACAGGATAGAAATAATTTATTGCAATATGAAGTATGAATATTGTGAATATTGTGCGCTGTTATTAAGATATCAACTAAATTTATGTAATTGACGTATATACATATACAAGATATTATACCTTTAACAGCTTCGAGATATAATTGATTGATATATATCAGAAGATCTTTTGGAATCCGTGTTTCATCTGGTAAAACCTCGACTAATAAAATAACTTCGTCCTGACCGATGCAAGCAAGACCTCTCGACGTCACGTTCCAGCAGATCTTGTTTACGCAGCAATTTACTGCGAATTATGTGAATGAGAACGTTAAGTTTCTTACACATATACCGGCAGTATAATTTCTTTACACTTACAATTAGTTATCTTCACATATGCATAAAGATTCCGATTAATCGCGAACATTACCGACGGTTCGCATTCGTTTTTCAGCGTTTTATAGAGCACACCTTCGTCCATAGGTGGATGGTATGTAATATCTGGTTACGATAAAAAGAAAAAAAGTGAAGCGATAATATGAATGATGTAAGTTACTACAACTATGAATACTTTTATATAACATCCTTACGGCCTTTGTGTATCGTGACAGTCGGAGGCAATAAATTAGAATCATGTGGAATATAACTATTGGTCGTATTGTCTAGAGGAGGATGATGATGCTGCCTTCTCGTTGCAGTGTCCGCAGATCCCGTGGCAAAAATCCGTTTAGTTCCCTGCTTGCGGTACGGTGGCTTTGGGTCCCAACACGTGTCTAGCTCTGTCAGGTCACAGCCAGGCCTTATTCCTGTGTTTTAGTTATAGGTGCGTAAAAATAAAACAAACAGGATAGGCTGGGGAAGGGCGAGTTGTCAACGTACTGACATGTTCCAGAAAGGCAAAAATAAACAAGTAGTAATTTCGCGTTGGACGTACTTTGAATTAATAATTTTACATGGGACGTGTTTGGACAAAGGAATAACAGAAATAAGACGAAACGAAAAAATATACAGTAGGAAAAAGTATGTGTGTACGATTTAGGAAATAATTGTATACTTAATTATACCTTGAAGAAGTAAATAGCGACCGATATATGTGTGTGTGTAACACACGTAATAAAGAAATTTGACATTTTCCGATCATCGGGCGGAATTTTATGCTTAAATACTTTGTATATATTTGCCTTATGCCTCGCATCACGCGCCGATTTATCTCATACAATCTTGAAACGTAATCTTACCAGTCAAAGCTGAAAATATTACATTACTAAATTGGTGTACGATATTACTGATAATAATGAACATCTTATAAATCTTTTCTCCTTCATATTCATTTATTGTGAGATCTATCACTTCAGTCATGACACGAATTCTGTATTTTCAGAGACAGTAGACTCGAATCTTAATACGTCTAGCTCTATCTTAACGGTGTCTTATTATTCGCTCGTTCAAAGAGCATTTATTCGGCATAAGATCTCGTCCAATGACAGAAATGTTAAACTTAATTCATTCTGTAGAATAATTGTACATAACAAGAATAAATTATGTATACTCAGCATACCCAGTACGTTCATGAATTTACGATATATAAAAATTATAGCTAATATGTAAATCTGTACATTATGTAATTTAAGGTGTATATATTTATTACGAGATAGAGATAATTACTTTAGAATTACTTAGCATTAACGAGAGAAAAAGAGAAAGAGAAGGAGAAAGAATGAATTAAAAACACTAATAACATTAATAAATTGTAAGTAATAATTACCTACCGTCACTGAACATTACGGATTTCTGTCCTTCTGCACGATGTTTCGAACCCTCTCTTTTAAGAACGCCCACAGGCACCATCACCGTCGGTGGTGGCGGCAAACCGCCGGCTAACTGTTGCAAGGGTGGTATAGTTGAACAGTACTCCATGGGATTATTTGGATTAGGCTGTCTCCCCTATAACCATTTGTCGAATACTTCTAACATCGACATTTGTTTAATTGTTCAGCAAACACATTTATTAGTCAGGTATACAAAAAGAAATACGATTATTCTCTTTTAACGTTTTTACAGTAAACTTTAGTAAAGGGAATCTCTATCGTTCTAAGAGAGATTAGGAAAATCGATGTTTGTAACTGTGAATAGTTTCATTATTAAGAAATAATTAAGAAATCGATGGATTTTGAAGGATTGTTTTAAACGTTTTAAACACTTGTTGCTATTCGTGTAAGTATTACTTTTGATGATCAGATCTTATCATCGCAGATTCAATTTTATTAATTAACGTAATTTAATTCGATTATACAGCATACACTTCATTTTATTTGTGCTCGTCATGTGTTTGCTGGACTTCAGAAATAATCACGATACAAAGCAGACTATATTTTATTGCACAATAGCTCAAACAAAACATGCTTTACTTTTGTAACGACATGCATACTTTGCTAAAAAAACAAATAAAATGTGTTTAAAACCCAAGAGAAGCTATAAATCATATATACTACTATAGTGTAATTCAACACAAAATAAACATTACAAACAATAATAAGAATGCTTATTAAACACAATTGATAATAATCTATATCTTTCCTTGTCTTAAAGAATCAAGCATCTTAATTAGTCATGTATTCTGTATTATAAAACTATCTGAAGTATATGTATTTATTAAATATTTAAGCGAATCAATGGATTTTCTTCTGCTAATATAATTTGAAATCATACTAAATATACTATGCCAAATAATGAAATGGAGAACAAAGCATTACGTGTTTCAAGTAATTATATTACGTGAAGTTTTACAAAATTATCCGCAAAATATCAATATATCGTATTAAAAAAATAATAATAATAAATTTATTTCTCAGGAAAATATATTTTCATTTATGTGTATCATATTAAAAAAAAAAAGGATTATAAATCTGGCAAAGCATTTCTAATCCGATGCAAATATACATTCCGAAAATTCCCTATCAAAATAAAAACATTACGATATAATACCAATTTATGTATTAAAGTTTTGGTTATCAATATATTTGTTAATTTAATCTGTTTTTGATATACATAAATTGTCTGCACAAGTAAAGCATAAAATTCAAACAGAAGTATTCAACAAGTTGTTATAGGTATTTATAATTAGGCTTATATTAATGTTCATGTAATGCTTAAAAAGTTAGTATTATTCGGGGGAATTCAACAGATGAAATCATAAAAGTGATTTGTTAATATGAATTTAAATAGCTTCTTTTTTTTTTTTAAGTTTCGTTAACAAATGGGCAATTCTTTCAAGTAGGCCCTTATAGCTGCTCCTACAGCTACAGTTTCGTTACAGCTGTTGATACAAAAAAATCAATCCACAAATAAATAACATACCTGTACGGAATTAACATCGCTACAATCGGTATACGAATTATAGCCAGCTGACCAATCACCTATTCCCTGTTCGCTCTCTGCTGAAAAAGCAAATACATTGTTAGTCCAAGAACACCATCATCTTTTTTTT